ATTGGATAGGTTGAGAATACAAATTCTAAACAAGAAACTCTTCCTGCATTAAATTTGCTTTAATTTCTAGAATTTAGAAACATACATTGAAAACGTACATAAAGTGAAAATGCACATGAACTGTAAACTATATATATATAAACTAAAGTATACAATAAGATTATATATACATCACATAAGAGTTATTTTCTAACAGTGTGAGGGAAGTTTGTTGAGTACAGTAAAATACTATAGATTACAAGACACAGAAACTGCACATAAGAAACAGTTATCACAGATTCAAGAAATTTCCAGATAAATCACAAAGGTTAGAGGTTATGTTGCCCTAAAGAGGAGATAAGCAGGCTAAAGGAGAAGCCTCAACCTGAAATGGATCAGGAAAATTCCATTTCACAGAAACTCCCAACACTGACTGGAACAGAGGGAGACTCCATTTCCTGTGGTTTTCCTCTAATAAGTGGCACCATCAGCATAACCAATAAAAGGGAAATGAATTCCAGAAGCTGACTTCCAGAATCTTGTAGGGCTTAAACATCTTCTGACTGAGAGAAGGCCATGAACTCTCAAAGACATATTGTTATTCATCACAGCCAGCCACTGACAACAAAGGCAAATTCGGAGCACACATTCCCTAGGGTTCCAAGGAGAAGGAAGACCAGGGGGAGATCACTCTTATATAATTTCTGATTCCTGCTGCCGTGCTTGGGAAAGCAGTGGAAGATGGCCCAAGTACTTGGCTCCTGGCCACCACATGGAAACCCTGGATGCAGTTCCTTGCTCCCCATGTCGGGAGTGAACCAGCGGATGAAAGTTTCTTTCTCTCTCTATCTTTGTAACTCTGTCTTTGAATAAATAAATGAATATTTAAAACAAAATCTTGTATTTTATCAAATCCAACCCTGCCATGGGTTTTGATACTGTAAAGGACTAAAAGTATGGCCCTATTTTAACATTCCTTGGATCTCCATGAGACCTCAGAGGAAAGAAAGGGTCATCAAAGAAGGATACACTCTTCTCTAAAGGGAGGAGAGAACAGCCGTGTCCAAAGATAGATGGCGTCTATGGTCATAAAAGGCTTCCATAGCCTTGGCAGCCCATGGCAAGAGCCTTGGATGATCACTGACATCATAAAAAAGAGTGTTAATTGTTAAAGGAACAACAGCAGTCACTGTGCACTTGCTCCCCATGGACGACCTCTGTCCCTAATGAATTATAATGAGAACTGACTGCAAATTTTCTTCCCAAACTGTACTCTATATGTTGCGTGTGGGCATGTGTACAAATTGTTGAAGTCTATGCTTAGCATGGAGTTGGTCCTCTGTATATAAAGTCAAACTAAAAATGAACCATAATGAAGGAGGAGATGGGAGAGGGAGAGGTAGGTGGGATGGGAGCTGGCAGGGAGGGGGTAAAGGGGAAAGAACCACTATATTCCTAAAGTTGTATCTATGAAAAAAAATTCATTAAATAAAAACTGAAAAAAAAAACACATTCCTTGGATTAAAAAGGGACCCTTTCATGTGCTATGCCTTTTTTTTCTTCAAATAATAAGTTGACACAATTATGGCTAAGAAATTAAAATGTAACTGAGGTTTCTAGAGTCCAATAGGCACACTTCTTTTCAGTGGTACCTCAAGGACATGGCCTGTTTTCTCACTTCCTGGAGTGTTTGACAGCCTGCAGCCCTCTCTCTTTGTACTGTGCTAAAAGGTAAACTGATGTCAGTGACACTGGTTCTATGAACCATCTCTCAAGGGCAGGAAAACGCTGAATGTCTTAGCAGTCTGTCGAAAGTTCATGAGCTCTTCCTGTCAGTTTTGTGCATTTTTATAACTCTGGTTCTACAAGCACCTGTGAGCCTTTTCAACAATTAGTTTCCTGGGGACCGGTTAATAGTGTTCAGTTAGACAGCTAATATTTATGACAGTTGAAGGTAAACCGTCTATTGAAATGTAGCCACCCAGTCATTAACTTCACCCCTCAGCGGGAGAAGAGCCTTCTACACATTTCTTTTTGAAAACAGCTAAAAATATATGCATGGGATTTTGAAAATGGCAATGGTTTTTTAAAATACTCAGGAGTCTTTTTGTGTCATGATTCCATAGTGGGGAAAAACTATAAAGGAAGTTTATTCTGAATATTTCTCAAATATTTCAATCACAAGAATTAATCTTTGTGTTTTCATAATGAATTGCATTTATGATACAGTCCCATGTCCCAAATGTGTTTAAATTATGAGGGAAAAAAAGATTAAATTCCGGTATACTTCCAGAAGTTTATGGGACACTCCCAGCTCAAATGCTCTCATATCATTTTATTTTATTTTATTTTTTATTTCCTCTCCCACAGAATGAGAGATTTCACTGTGGCAACCTCAGTGCTATAATACTCCTGTCTCTCCCCATACAAATTATACCTTGACATTTAGTGCTGTTTTCTGCATCTTCCTTGATAAAAAAAAGTACAGTTAGAACAAAAAAGAAATTGATCATTAATAATCCCAAAAAACAGGTATACCAATATATTATTTGTAGAACTGAAAGTTCAATATTTCATAAATGATTTCCAATGGTGTGGGGATTTCAGGAGTATAAACCATTCATCATTGTGAAAACTGATTGGGGTTTAATAACAATCATCTTTCACCAACTGGCATTGGCAGTTTCATTATCAGATATCATTTGAAAGCAGGGACTTCTTGATACAACCATTGTGCAATTCAATATAATTATATTGAGTCAACCTTCATCCTCCTGTGAAAATGCTTTTGGAAAATTATAATGAATTATCCAATTAGAGAGTGTGGTACCACTTGCTATTATGAAGAGGAAACTATGAAACAAAAATAGTGGGTATTTTATTGTATAAGAATTCAGGCTAAGAAATGGAATCCCAATTTCTGTGGCAGACTGTTATTTGAAAGGTACAGTAAGATTACTTTGATTACAATTAATAATAAAAGATCATCTGGTTTCATTTAAACAATTAAGTGAGGGAACAAATGTAGACAGAGAACATTTGTCGAACTTCAAGTTGTTGAGAAAACTACATTTAATTAGTCAATAAATAGCTTTAGTTCTATGTGTGCGTGTGTGTGTGTGTCTGTATCTGTCCAAGCATTAGAAATTCAGAGGACTGTATGGATCCCTTTCAATACATGTGCAAATGGTGTTAAGTAGCAGTACACTTAATCATAGTAGAATGGCACTGAAGTTGTTAAAATTGCTCCAGCATCTACCTCTATCTTCTTGTTAATGCAGAACCTGGGAGGCAGCAGTGTTCACTCAAGTAGAGAAAATATTAATCATTTCTCATTTTTATATCCAGGGTAATCATTTGCAAAAGCTATGTTTCACTATTGCAAATAAAAATTAAGGGTATTATCTAATTGATTTGTCCAGCATGGAACTGACCTGAAAGTTACAAGCTCAAAGACAGATTCTGAATGTCTTACTTCTACAAGAAACTCAAACAGAAACCTCAAAAAATGCACCAGGTGCTGATGGTACATGATTCACTCACACATTCAACAAATCTTTTCCGTATGGCCAACATACATTACATGCTATCTACTAAGCAGAAGACACAAGCTAACATTTATTGATCAATTTCAATGGGGAAGACACTGATCTATTAATTCCTTAAATCATCTCCATAATTCTCTCATCTGTCCATTCTTACTAATGGGAAGATGAGTCCATGATACTATGAGGGCACTAACACCTTGCCAAAGCCACACAGCCGGACAGTGGCAGAGCCTAACTTTGAAACCTGGGGACTCAGCTTCACGCTCCAGACTAAAGTCATTAGTCTCTATCAATTGTATAAGTTGACCTTTTTATAAGAAGACCTGAAAAAGGAAATAATCTATCACCGGAACCTGGAAATACAGAAAGAACGGTCACATTTCAGAACTGCTGTTGTTTCTGCGAGGTGGAGAAGCAGCAAAGCTCCACTGTTCAACCCCCAGCTGCAGCTCTGGGTTATTTTATTTACTGGTTTAAAAAAACCCAGAAGATGGGGCTGTGATTCACAGTTGCAAAAACTCAAGTCAGCTCTAAGAGTACCTGATTTCAAAACAAAGAAAAACAGGGCAAGAGAAAGAACACGAGAGAGAGAGAGAGAGAGAGAGAGAGAGAGATTTGCAAGCAACAGATAACAAGGAAGCAGAAAATATCAAAGGCAGAGTAACTTCTGAGTATTTTTTCTTAATTACACCAAGAAGACATGACTTAACTAACAAGGAACCTAGTTCTCCAAGCTTCTCAGCTAAAACACTTTCAATATGAACAAAAGACTGACATCGAATGTAGAGGCCGGAGAGAGAGGACTTACTTATTCCATAAATGACTTATTTTCAGTGTTATAATTAATCAATTATTCAGTAAAGGTACAGAATGTGCACAACTTAATAAAATTGGAATTTTGCAATTTTACAAGACTATGTCTATAAAACAGTATGAAGTGTCCAGCTTAAGATTAAATGTTTAACATAATACAGAAGCCTACAAACAGAAAACAGACTGGCTTCCGAACCTGGGTCCTTAAAATACTCATCCAAATTTTCCAATCATGTCTCTGTCTTATTAGATATTCCTCTCGTGATCTGATCTGTTCATGTTCTCTTGTATGTGGAACAAGAAAAGGACAAATAAAATATTATGAAATATTTTAAAGGGCAAGTATTTGTCTTACCACTCAAGACACTCCATCCTGTATCTTATCCCTGGGTTCCCTGCCCGGCTCCTAACTTCAGCTTCAGGCAAATGCTCACCCTGGGAGGCAACAGTGATGGCTCAAGTGGCTGAGTCCCTGCCACCAATGTGGGAGACCCAGACTGAGTTTCTGCCTCCTGGCTTAGCTCAGCTTAGTCCTGGACTTTGTGGGCATTTAGGGAGTCAATCTCTCTTTCTCTTTCTTTCTCTCCTCTCTCTCTCTCTCTCTCACTCTGCCTAACTAAATAGCATTTTTAAAAAAGGAAAATTTCTTTTTTCCCCCAGATAACTGAAAATTGTAACTGAACAGAGTGAGAAACAGGAGATTAAAGTTTACTCTGTATCCGGGAAAGAAGATAATAAAAAAAGCCAAATGTAACCAGGTCACACGAGAAAAATTAATGGGAGGCACAGTCAACACCAGTCTGCCTGTGGCCAGGCCCCAGGTGAGGGAATCTTCACAGCCCGCCTGGGGTCTCTGAGCAGCGAGCAGTGGACTGACGCTGAGGGCAGGAGACAGGACGGGGCGGGGCACTGGGGATGCTGCTGACAGGTGCAGGACTCTCCACTCCAAATCATAAGCAACGTTTACAGGCAGGCGAGTCCAAATCTCTCTTTACTCTAACAAGGGGATACACTGAATTTGAGCTTTTAACAGTCTGGAAGTAAATAATCAAACATCATTGTTCATGCCCCATAGGAGATACCCACTACCTAAAAATAGGAATAATAAATAAAACTGTATCTCCAGTGACAGCAGGAGCTGCTCACTCAGCCTGAGGTTTGTAACCAGCCACATGCACGGATTTACCGAGAGAGCGGATTCCTGATAGCTGTTTTGTTCCTTCTGTACTTCAGATTATTACACGTAGATAGAAAAGAAAGTATATCCCCTAAAATGGATAAGAAATTCCAAACAAGGTCTGGTCAGTTTACCCAAATGAATTTGTTCAGTTCATTTATATTATATTTAAAATATATCTACAGACTATTTTTAAAAGTTTTTTTTTAAGTTTGTTACAACTTAGGGGTTTTAAAAAGGGAAGTATATGTGTGTGCATATATGTACATGTGTATAATACACATACATATTGCAGATAGATAGACCGAAAGACAGACTGACCAAACCAAGCAGGCATTTCCTTTTGGACAGATATATCTGGTTGACAGTTCACCAAAGCTATTTTCCTCCTTGTTTTTTTATTTTTTTAAAAAAAGATTGATTGATTGGTTGATTGATTTGAAAGACAGGGTGACTAGGCAGGGGCGATTTTCCATCCACTGGTTCACTTTCCAAATGTCCACAACAGCCAAGGCTGCTGGGTCAGGCCGAAGCCAGGAGCCAGGAGCTCCAGTTGGGCCTCCAGAGTGGATAGCGAGGATCCAACAACTTGAGCCACAGTCTGCTGCTTTCACAGGTGCAGGAGCAGGGAGATGGACTGGAAGCAAAGCCTCTGGGACTGGAACCAGCCTCCAATGTGGGATGCTGGCATCACGAGCAGCAGCGTGACTCAGCGTGCCGCAGTGGCATTCGCATCACCGAAGTTTTGAGAAAGTCTGGAAAGATTTCAGAGTGCATGCTTTTGCAAGGGTGAGTAACTTTACCTCATGCGTCATGCATGAAACACGAAAATTCTGATGCAAGAAATCACAGGAACGAAGCCCGCCTGCTGTTTTCCTTTTCCAGTTCTTTCTATTAACCAGGCTGCCCTTTACAGAACCACAGGCACACCGACGTCTCCCTGTCATCTCTTCCTTCATTCACACCCCACACCTACAGCCCAGGAGAGCAGCCAGGTGTGCTTCACTGGCCTAGAGTTACATTTTGACGACCTGCTACTTTCATTCTCCAGGATGAAAGGCAGAGAACCAGAGAAAGGATGCCCACTAGCACTTTGTTTATCTATGCAGAAGTGGCCCTTCATTGATGGAGCAACAAAAGCAAAAATGGCTCTACTTCTACTTTTCATTATTTTCTCTCTTTCTATGACAGGCAGGTCCAAACACTGTCATTACAGCTTCTCATATGTGTGTAAATGGCTTGCACGATATTGCCTTCACTGATTTTTATGTTCCTTTGCATTCTATAACTTTCTGGCTGGCACTTTCAGCCTGTATTTCAAACTACTTGGCAATTTCCTGAAAAACGTGTTTATTTCCCCTCCTGAAACCCGTATCTAGTCATTGCTCTAAATCTGAAGGATGCTTGTTCAGTACTGATACTGAATTCTTCATATGCCCTTCTAAAAGCATTTAATAGTGACAAGAACAGAAGAAAAAAAATCTGTTTTCATATAAACTATTCATGCCCCCATATATTTCTTTTTTTACTGGTTTACACATTCTTTGCTTAATTCAACAGACTTTTTTTGACAGGCAGAGTGAACAGTGAGAGAGAGAGACAGAGAGAAAGGTCTTCCTTTCCGTTGGTTCACCCTCCAATGGCCGCTGTGGACGGTGCACTGTGCTGATCCGAAGCCAGGAGCCAGGTGCTTCTCCTGGTCTCCCATGCAGGTGCAGGGCCCAAGTGTGTATTAAGTAATGGGCACTGTCCTAGTGCTGCTGTTTCAAACAATCATCAGCTTTGACTTCAATAACCTAAGAGTACAGTGAGAAAGTCTGTTGAAGAAGAAGGAGAAGGAAGAAAGGGAAGAGGAAAGTGAGAAAGGAGGAAAGAAGAGAATGAGAAGGAAGGAAGAGGAGGAAAGAGAAGAGAGGGAAAAAGAGCAGACATTAGTGATCACTACCTAATATGATCACTGCTGAGACAGAGGTGTGCCTAAATTCAGAGCCACGTGGGTGGGTCCACAACATACTTCATGGGTGGAGATGCATCCAAAAGCAGAGGAAAGGCCACAGGATTACGGGTCATATCAAGTTAAGTGTATTGACTGAAGGCTTTTCACAATATTTTCTGTATTTTGTTGAGCCTTGGAAAGGAAACAATAACGTACTTGTGACTTATTTATGAGAGAACACAATGGAACAGCCAAACAAATGATTACATGAGACTGATTCAAATAGCAGTCATAAGATCTTGTATTAGTATAGCATACTTCCATTCATATTCTTACTGCTCCGAAACTTTTAACTCACATGGAACATAGCAATTGTATTGCAAATTTTATTTAAAATCATATTATATTGAAAGAATAGTAAAAAGTATAAGGATGAAAATCATGGTAGAACACAGGAGAAAAGATATTCTAAGCATCCTGTGGTCCCAGAAGAAAATACATCACCAAATCATCAGTTATAAGTGCACTAATATTGTATTATAAAATTAAGAAAAGAAGAATATGTTCACTAAAGCAAACAGAGCTGACCAAATGGAATAGAGGGCTTCAAAAGTGCACGGAAATTGAAAGTTATGAAAAAAGTCTCAAAAACTTTTGCACCAAAATTATCCTATATTTTGTTTCCATTCTTTTCCCCACATACTTTTTGAGGTGCCCTCATATAAAGGATTTATAATAATCGAGTTTCCATTTTCCAGGATGAAACGTGGAGCAGGGCACTTGATGAGGTACAACTAGGGTTTAACACCAGGTAGCAAGAGCCCATGTGAACCCAGGAAGAGATGGGCCTGGTGCCTCTAAGATGGGAACTGAAATTCTAGAAGCCAGAAAAGATGCCAAATTTTGAGAAATGGATAAAACAAAGAGCTTGTCAGAAAAAAATTGCTTCAGGGAAAAAAAAAAAAGCTTATAGAGTAGGCCCCAAGGGGCTCCAAAAATAAGCTGTCCTTTAAATTGTTTAAAAGTGATGCAAGCAAATAGACACACACAGAGACACACGTACACAATTGGACATTTTCTTGGTCTAAATCAAATCTTTGCTTTTTGTAAAACACATTTTCAAAAAAATGTCCTTGAAGTTTTAAGCTCCACTGGTCCAAGACAAATCTAATAAAAGTCAGATTTCAGTGTGACTATGACACGGTCTGCTTCCTCCCTAGGAGCATACAGCTGCCACTTGCTTTATGAGATGTGCTTCTTGGTCCGCCCCAGAACTACCTGGGACTCTTAAAATGATGCAGCAAATGCACGCCTCTGTGGGTCTCACAAGAAAACATGAGTGACCTAAGGAACTTCTGGCTCCACTAAAGAAAATCCTCGATAATTACAAAGGGGAGTTGTCTTCCCAAGAATGAAACTGTCATTTAGGTTTGAAGGTGTAGCCCAGGGGTGACATGAATGATACCACTTCTTATTCAACCAGTAACCCCACAGTCTGTCTACACCGTGGCATATTCCTCATCACACTGCCTTTTTTTTTTTAAATTCTTTTTTTAAGATTTATTTTATTTATTTGAAAGAGTTACAGAGAGAGGTAGAGACAGAGAGAGGTCTTCCATTCACTGGTTCACTCCCCGAATGGCCACAACTGCAGGAGCTGAGTTGATCCAAAGGCAGGAGCCACGTGGGTGCAGAGGCCCAAGGACCTGGGCCATCTTCTACTGCTTTCCCAGGCCATAACAGAGAGCTGGATCAGAAGTAGAGCAGCCAGGACCCAAACCAATGCCCATATGGGATGCTGGCACTGCAGGCTGGGACTTTAACCTGCTGTGCCACAGTGCCAGCCCCTACAATGCCCTTTCAAGAACCATCTTAGCAAAATCAAAGTTATGGGGTCAGTGCTGTGCCGCAGCGGGTTAACGCCCTTAGCGCCGACATCCCATATGGGTGCCGGTTCGAGTCCCAGCTGCTCCTCTTCCAACCCAGCTCTCTGCTATGGCCTGGGAGAGCAGTAAGAAGATGGCCCAAGTCTTTGGGCCCCTGCACCTGCGTGGCAGACCCGGAAGAAGTTCCTGACTCCTGGATTCAGATCAGCGCAGCTCCGGCCATTGCGGCCAATTGGAGAGTGAACCATCAGATGGAAGACCTCTCTCTCTGCCTCTCATCTCTCTGTGTGGCTCTGACTTTCAAATAAGTAAATAAATCTTTAAAAAAAATAAAATAAAAGTTATGGTTTAACTAATTCTTAGACACCTTTTTCTTTTTCTGAGAAGACAGCCATGACTTTCAAACTCTTAAGTTTTATTTTAAATTCAGGTAACAATGATTATGGGTTGCTGCTCTCAAAATTCATTGTTTGAAGGGGTAACCTTCATGACCACACAGTGTGAGCTTATTTCAAAAGAGGGTCTCTATGGAGAGAATCAGGTTACAGTGAGGCCATTAGGGTGGCCTGTTACCCTGGATCCCTGATATCCTCATAAAAGGAGGGACGAGATTCAAACCCAGAATCAGGCAGAAAGGGATGAGCATGTCTTTTAAGTCTTGTTTATCACGTTGTCCACATATAGACAAGTGGGCCAAAGACAGCATCAGCAGACCAAGAATGAGTGTGATATACATAGTCATACAGCCATTGGATGGGGTAGAAATAAAGCTGTCCCCAGCAAGGCAGGGAAACCCTCTGTCTCTACAAAAGGGTAGAAAAGACTTCTACCTGCCAGCAGCCCAGGGAGAGAGCCCTGTCAACCTTGCAATCCTGACAACTCCAAGCGAAAGCACAGCTTAGGCTCCCAGCAGCAGTGCCTGGTGGGACCAGGTCTGTGTGTCACTGTTTCCCAGCGTGGATGATCAGCAGAAGAAATCAGTAATGAGGATGAGAAACAGGGACATTCTTTCTGAGATATCCCCAAACTGGCATTAGCAAAGCAATGTTCAGTTCACCCTACTAAATAGGTGAGGGCATTTGCCATTTTCAAGAAACTAGAGGGCAATTATTTGGCAAGACACTAGTTTTCATGGGCTTTCCTGGGCACTAGGAGACAAAGGAATTACCAGTCTGTGGCCTGAACCACTGAGGGCAGGGATGCTGCAGGAGATGGAAAGTCTCTAGCAGAAGAAACTCGATGGATACAAGTCAAAAGTTACAGGAAAAGCATCAGACAGGAGCACTGATGGCCAATAACACCTTTATTTTATTTTTTAGCATTTATTTTATTTATTTCAAAGACATAGTTTCAGAATAGAGACAGAGAGCAAGTGTGTGTGTGTGTGTGTGAGAGAGAGAGAGAGAGAGAGAGAGACAGAGAGAGAGAGAGAGAATCTTCCATCTACTGCTTCACTCGTGAATGGCCCTGGTCCAGTACTTGAATATGCAATGCCTACATCACAAGCAGTGGCTTAACCCACTGTGCCACAATGCCAGCCACCATTTCATTTCTTCACTCTGTCTCTTTTTTTTCCTTCAAATCATGCATGTTCTGAGTCCTTTACACTAATTAATTTTAGCCTCATAAAAACCTTATGAAGTATTACTACTGTCATCATTGACATGCACTCCAAAGTCCCTATCAGAGGCATGAATGGTTGCACAAGTCAGGTTTAATCCTTGCTGCATTAAGGAGAGGCAAGGAGAGTTATAGGGAATTTTGTAGCCTGATTCAAAGAATCTACAGGATTTGGGATTTACGAAGATGATTTGGGATAAGGCTCCGAAAAGCCAGGTTTCATTATGGATCAGGTCCTGTCATGAGGCAGAGTTGATCCTGTAACTGAGTATATTGGTCAGCAAGTTCTAGAAGGAAGACAGGTTACATAAGGCTAA